CCGTCTTTCATTATCAGTATACATTTCATAGGAAAAGCAGTGTAGTAGACTTATCAATAGCAAACACAATGAATTTTGTTATTTTAAAAATACTATCATTCATATAGGAGAACATGGCTTACACATTTCTGAGTCTGTCTGTTTTGAGTATATTGTCTAGAAATGCCTTGGATGTAGGATGCATTTGGCGTCCAGTACTGTGAGGCACTAATCAGCTAAGTACCATAATCCTCCTTACAGGGTACATTCTCCCTTGACCTGGAGCTATATACAGTCACATAGTAACAGCATTAAAGAATAACCTTTTCCTTAACAGGCCCGTTCCTAGAGGATTTTATGACTCCATCCGCGAATGAATGTTGTTTTATGTGTAACTTTTCAGTAATTGGCTTTTGAAATAAAATGATGGTAAGCAAACAGAGACATTCAAATCATCTGATTAAGGATGGCTCCTGTGATTTTGCTAGAGCTAGAAGGATTAAGTGAAAGCACCGCCTGGCCCTGTGTTCATGCATTTTTGTCAACATGATGCTTCGTGCTCGACAGATGTGCATTGGTTGAGCAAAAGGTAAAACTGTAATAATGTGTTAACTATTGTGGTATGTAATAAAAGATAAATCTGTTTTATGGTTTTTGATGAATATAAATGGTTTGATTTGTTAAAAGCTTTTTGTAGGAATTATTGGAATGGACCCTATATATTTCATGTTTTACAGGATCGTATACTTCTTTTAAATCCTTGATTTAATGTGTCTTAACAGCTTCAAGTTTCACCATTTGATTGCAATGTTATGTTTAAACTATATGGTTAGCATGTGTAATTGAATGAATGAGGTATCATTTTAGTGTATTTAGCAGTATCCATGCAGTATAAAACTTTAAAAAAGATGGTCTTTTTTCAGATTATTGATTCTTTAAATGTTGTTTCTATTTTTTCATTTATAAAATGATAGTTTTTAAAATGAGCTCTGTAATAAAGATTATGACTAAGACATTTTCATATACATAGCACTTAACTGTAATAATATAAAATTTGAATTTACAGAAATTACTAATTTTTAATCCTTCACTCTACTTTTAGTGTCCTTATGATTTTGAAAAATTACATAGGTCTTAAAAGTTAAAAACATATGGATATTAAAACTTGTTTCCATTTAATCATTTACTGTCCTTATAAAAGTTTTTATATGCTTACTGGATTATATTTTCAGAAACTTGATTATTTTATAGTATATGTATGGTCAGTATTGATAATATACCGGTGGCATAATAACAGAAACCACATAGACATGTAAATGTTGTAAATATTAAAATAGAAGCTATGGTAAAAATATAATGAATTACTGTACAGTATATGCATTGAGACTGCCTTTGGGAAATTGGGAAAGTGACTTTAATTGGGAAAGAATCTTTTCATTTAGAGTTTCCCCATCAGTCAGTATAATTTTTAGACATGAAATTTTAAAGAGATTAATTGGTAGTTTCTTGCTCAAACTATCTAGTCAAGTGTGAATATATAGCCAGAATATTTAGAAATACATAGATTGATGGTTAGTCCATATTGCAACAATTATAAACAATGAACAGGAATGCTTCTGATAAAAGTCATTATATATGTGATTTATATTTCTATATGTGATTTTCTATAAACTGGTTCCAATTAAGGTGACTATAATATAGTGAAAAAGAAAACGATTCTAACAATCTAGGTTTCAATAAAGAGAAGATGAAAAGGTGTTAGGCTCATATAGAGTGAATATAAATATATACTGATATTGTATTGGTCAGAAATTGGGATTGATAGAATGTATAGGCATAAAAATTAAAGCACTATATAATGTCACAAATACATTTTATTCTAAAGAAAGGCATAATTTTAGATTCTGCCTCTTAATTTTTCATAGTCTTTGAAGGATTAAGGGAGATGTAATATCTTAGATGAGTTCCTCCATTTTTCTGAATTATAATTTATGGGTCAGATATTGTTAAATGCTTCATGATTTTATAAGGAAGTTTAGAAACTATCATTATATTATTTTACCTATAAAATACTTTCCAACTGATAATAATAAATACTAAGGCTTGTTTATAAAGACCAGTAGCGAAGCTAGAGATTAGAGATACAGTAGTTGAATTTTCATCAATTCCTGAAAAATATGTCAAAATAGAATATGCAATAATTCACAATATAGTTGTTAAAAATTGTTTTGACAGGGTATTTTAATATTTTGGAGTAACTAATTTTAGATTCCTTATTGTTTGGTAAGAATATTCTTTAGAATAAAATCTTACCTCCTAGCATACCTTTAATATATTGTAAGGTAACTTAACCATATTTTTAGAAACCTAATTCCATGTTAAGTAACAGTGATAATAGTTTCAGAAATTTCAGAAATTGTCACCACTATTCTATTTTTACTTAAATCCAGTACAAATCCGTATCTACAATATGATTCACGTGTTTTAGGCAAATTTCATAATCTCTAGAATAAAGTGATTGCTGCATTTAATATTGAATTCAATTTATTGAAGGTATGATTTTTAAAAAGCACTTACATGGCTTGCTAAGGACTAATTATTAATATTCTTTTTACTGGAACTGAATTATCTAAGTAAATATTCTTATTTATTAATAAAATGAAATATATTCCTTGTTTTATTAAAGGCTCACTATATTTATATCCTACTTACTTTAAAAAATTCGTGCTAATTCCTCAGGGACTTAAGTGTTCTGTTTTACTTTTTATTCTACTTCTGTCCTATAATAGTAGATGTTAAATATAATACTAGATGTTAAGTATATTACTAGACATCCCTAAGTTGCAAAGAGTTTTTGTTCTAAATGTTTAGTTGTAAAGTGATTGATACTCAAAATATATTTTGCCAAAGAAGTCATTTTATAAACAAGAGTTGGTTTCTGAAGCCCAACCACAAGAGCCAAATTAACATATAATAGAGCTGAGTTACACCACTAATAAAAGTAGTTCCTTCCTTTCACTTGAGGTGCTGTTTACTGCCGGGGCACAAAAAGGGAAAAGAAATAACTAGATCACGGTTGGATTCCTGGTCAGGGTACATGTCCGGGTTGCAGACTCGATCCCCAGTAGAGAGCATGCAGGAGGCAGCCCATCAATGAGTCTCTATCATCATTCATGTTTCTTTCCCTCTCTCACTCTCCCTGCCTCTTCTGAAATCAATAAAAACATATTTTAAAAAATGGGCAGAGGACCCCAAACCCACTTCTCCCAAGAAGACATGCAAATGACCAATAGATATCTGAAAAGATGCTCAACTTCACTAGCTGTTGAGGAAATGCAAACCAGAACTACAATGAGATACCAGTTTTGTAGCTTCTGATTCCTAGATTAAAACCTTTCCTACCTGGAAAACCCAGAGTGACTTCTGTTTTCCATAATGAACCCTCATTGACACATCCACAAAGTGTACTGCAGGTATGGGGGAAAGGGACCCAGGGACACAGAGGAGACTTCAGAGGACAGAGATGATGTTGCTGGGTTACATCCTTCCACATGTATCTTTTCTCTGTTCTTGCTTTCGGGTCAAAAAATACTGTCTGAGAAATTCACAACTGTGCTGTCTAACATTGGTCATCTTTACATTCAAGCGATCCCATAAATTCAAGTGATCCCTCTATTTCATTATCTCCTGTTCATGTCTTCTGACACAGTTTTCATAGCAGTTATTCTAAACCTCTTCTGTCATATTCAGCATCCCGGTTCCATTGCTTCTCATGGCTAGTGGTTGACATTTTCTGAGTTCGTGCCAGAGAAGAGGACAATGTGTATATTTTGTTGACAAAAAGCATTAATACTGAGTGTGACTGCAAGGTCCATCTGGCTGTATCAGTGTGTGTGTGTGTGTGGGGGGGCAGATACAATATATAGTGTCTTTCTCTGAGGCTATAAGGAATATGAGGGGTCAGATGTGACGCTTGAGAAATGTCATCGAGCTGGCCTATCGTCCTAATGAAGGTGGAATAAGAATAGCAGTCCTTTCTGACTTCAGGGGTTTTGTGATGAATAAGTCATTGTTGTTGGTACTTATTTAAATTGCTTATTTCAAGTTAGAGCAGAAAGGAAGGGTTGGAGCTATGATGATAAGAGGAAGACTTAGAGGAACCAATGCTAGAAGTGATTTATATAGGTAGATGAATGAAAAATTATTTTTAAAAAAGTTTATCTTTATTGTTGAAAGTATTACAGATGTCCCCCCTTTTTTCTCCATTGACCCCCTCCATCCCAGTCAGCCCTGCCAGGCCTTCACCACCCTATTGTCTGTGTCCATGGGTTATGCATATATGCTTATAAATTTTTGGTTAATCTCTCCCACCCCCCACCCCCCTATGCCCACCTCTACTCTGAAAATTGTCAGTCTGTTCCATGTTTCTATGTCTCTGGATCTATTTTGTTTGTCAGTTTATTTTGTTCACTAGATTCCACACATGAGTGAGATCATATGATACTTGTTCTCTGACTGGCTTATTTCACTTAGCGACCAACACTTAGCTTTAGTTAGAAAGTATTCAACTCTTGAGCCAAGTCAGTTTGACTTCATTATTTTGTTAAATAATTTTCATACCAAGGTGTCAGAATGGAGAATGGAAGTTGGGATTTTTTTTAAAGTTTCTGAATAACAGTTGGGAGATAGCTGAAGTTGGAGCCAGGCAAGGAAATTAGAGTAAACTGTTTTACATTAGCAGAATTTGATGGTTATCTAAGTTCTGAATAAGTACATTTCATATGTAGTGTATCAGTCTTTTAATAACCACATCAAAAGTATCTTTTAAATTTCCTATTTGAACTAAATATATAGAATGCATATAAGTAAAACTTTTGTTTTGGCATGACTTTGAAATGAAATTTAACAAAGAAGCAAAAAGAACCATTTGAATTTATCCATCAACCTTTCTGTGAATCAGTGAAATGTAGGATTATTTAAACGTTGCTCTTCTCATCATTTTTTTTTCTTTGATTACTTAGGAAAAGAAGTCCATCAGTGTCCAGAGATCAGAATAGAAGATACGACCAACGGGAAGAAAGAGAGGAATATTCACAGTATGCTCCTTCAGATAGCGCAATGCCTAGGTCTCCATCAGATTATGCTGACAGGCGGTCTCACCGCGAACCTCAGTTTTATGAAGAATCTGATCACATAAATTACAGGGACCCCAATAGGAGAAGTCATAGGCATTCCAAAGAATATATTGTCGATGATGAGGACGTGGAAAGCAGAGATGAGTATGAGAGACAGAGGAGAGAGGAGGAATACCAGGCACGCTATCGCAGTGATCCCAATTTGGCCCGTTATCCAGTCAAGCCACAGCCCTATGAGGAACAAATGCGTATCCATGCCGAAGTGTCCAGAGCACGGCACGAGAGAAGACATAGCGATGTCTCTTTGGCAAATGCCGAACTGGAAGAATCCAGGATTTCTATGCTAAGGATGGAGCGGCCATCAAGGCAGAGATCTATATCTGAACGTAGAGCTGCCATGGAAAATCAGCGATCCTATTCCATGGAAAGAACTCGAGAGGCACAGGGGCCAAGTCCATATCCACAAAGGACCACAAACCATAGCCCTCCTACCCCCCGGAGGAGTCCAATACCCATTGATCGACAAGACATGAGGCGGACGGACTCCCTCAGGAAGCAACCCCACTTAGACCCTAGCTCCGCTGTGAGGAAAACGAAACGGGAAAAAATGGAAACGATGCTCAGGAATGATTCTCTCAGTTCCGACCAGTCAGAGTCGGTGAGGCCGCCACCACCAAAGCCTCACAAATCCAAGAAAGGAGGTAAAATGCGCCAGGTGTCACTGAGCAGCTCGGAGGAGGAACTCGCTTCCACACCCGAGTACACAAGTTGTGATGATGTTGAGATTGAAAGTGAGAGTGTCAGCGAGAAAGGTAAGCTGCCCCATTGTGACCACACAGCTCCCTGCAGTTGATTAGATAAGAGTTCTTTGTTCTAGGTTGTACTTGGGAGTGGACATTTAAAAGTTAGATATTCCTACTTTTATTTAAAAAGTGTTTTAATGGTGTTGGTCACGTGAAGAAAATTTCCAGTTATAAAATGTGAACATCCTCTGTAGGTCTGTTGATTTTTAAAACTGTTTTTGTTTGTTTTGTTTGTTTTTTGCTTTGTTTCTGAAAATTTTCTTAACGCTACTTGATGGCATATTTTTATCTATTAGCTGCATAACCTCTTCTGTGTTTCCTTTTAAAAGTAACAATATGTTTACTAGAGAACATCTGAAAAATTCCTCAGAATGTAAAGAGTGAAATACAAGTTATCCATAATCCTGTTCCCCAAATGTAACCATTATTAACATTTCGTTGTATTTCTTCCCTTTTTCCTATGTATGTGTTAGGATTTTTTTTTTCAATTGATATCATATCACTCGCTTTTCTCAAGCCATTAGATATTCTTCAGAAATATGTTTTAAATGGCTGCACTAATATTCTATCGTAAGGATATACCACAAACTAACTATTCCTTTATTTTGGGGCATTGCAGTTGCTTCCAGTTGTTATTATAAATGATATTATAATGGTTATCTTTATGCATAATTTTTGCCTATATCTCTTAGTATTTCACAAATACATGTTTGTGCTTTGATTTTTTTAAGCCTTTACTTCAGATGAACATCCTGCTTCCCAAAAAGGTTATAACACTCTATATTCCTGTCATATGCTTTCATCATCAAATAGGCTTGAGCTTTTGGGCTAGATGCACCATATCTTTGCTATTTGAATACACCACAAAAAATGCTATCTCATTTTAATTTGAATTGGATTGTGCGGTTGAATATTTTGTATGTAAATTGATGTTTGATATCTTCTATGAATTATCATTCCGTTTATTTCTTCTGCCCATGTTCCTATTGGGTATTAATTTGTTTTTGTCTTATTGATTTTATAAGAGTTTTTTATTTGCTCATTTAACTGTCATCTGTTCCAAATGCATTTCACATTTTGATGTTTACCTACTCATTTTCTTTGGTCATTGGGAAATATTGAACATAATATAGTTAAGTCTTTATATTCTTTGTTGGTTTTTTTTTCTATTCCTTTTATCTCCAGAAAATCTTTATTCATCCCCAAATTAGTTGAACATTTAACTCTAATTTCTCATGATTTTATTATTAATTTTAAAAATTTTAAACTTCTTAATCTTTCTTTAATTTATTTTGGTGTATGCCAAAACACACCAGGTAGGTGAGTATCTAACGTGAATCCCTTGTACCGTCCTCCCCCACCTCCACACACACAATTTTCTAACACTGTTGGAGGAATAATTGATTTCATGTTTATAAGAATGAATGGAGATCAATAAAGGAATTCAAGAAGGCAGCTGGATGTGAAATTAATATTGTATGAAAAATAATTAGGAAATATAAATGAAGAGGAGTTTACATTCTGAACTAAAAACAGAAAATGTGATTTAAAATAAATAATAAGACATGAGGAGGGCCGACATGAAGAAAGCTATAAAACTTGACTGGGTAACATACAGGAAGAGATTCACTTCATGTTCCTAATTGGGGAGGCCCACTACTCTAAAGATGCATATTCCTTTCAGATTATCTCTTGGGGTCAATAACACTTTAGTCATAATGTTATTTAGTTCATTGAACTATCCTATTTCTAAAGTTATACTGGGAGGTGTAGAGGAGGAAGAACTTAACTCTTTCACCACCTCTGCATCTAGGTTCATTGCTGGGGTCCTATAAATTAGACTGACAAAAGACAGATTAACAAGAGAAAAACAAATTTGTTATCATGTGCATTGCACACATATATAGGAGCACTCAGCCAGGAGAAACTCAAAGGGATGTTTGGAATTTGGGCTTATATAACACAAGAACAATACATTTTTAAAGACAGGACAGGACAAAAGAAAAGGACTTTCAGCTTCTAGGGGTGACAAATTGTAGGAACTAATTGAAGAGAAGGGCTAATTTTAGCAAGGTTTGTTATGTTGACTCCTGTGGTGCTTATTAGGTCAGGAATTATATCCAGTGGTTAACTTCTGTCCTCCTGTTAGAGAAGGGGGAGGGATCACCTTTCCAAATACATGTCCTGCTTTTAGGCAGATAGGGAGAGGGCAGGGAACTTTGCTTGTATCTGCTTCTCCTCCCTCCAGGCCTTCACCACCCTATTGTCTGTGTCCATGGGTTACGCATATATGTATACAAGTTCTTTGGTTGATCTCTTCCCCCC